TTTTTTTTTTTTTTTTTTTGGGTAACCTTTGTTCTATTTTTATTTGCCCAATATATAAAAAGCCACTATAAATACTTTTTAATATATTAATTTAAAATTTGTTGAGTTTACGTATAGTTTGCACATTCAAATACTGACATGGCAAACTTCTGTACTTTGAGTTTACGTGTAGTTTGCACACTTCAAATGCTGACATGGCAAGTATTGAATGAAATTGATAAAAGTATGTAAAATTAATACAATTCACTCCAATGCAAAGAGACTAAGTCTCTACTTTGGTCTAAAATAGACTTAAGGGTAGACCGGGTCTTTTTTTTTCTGGCTGCCACATCAGCAGACCCAATCTAACTTTTGTTTGCATTGGAGAATACAGTTTTTTAGACTATGTCTATTTCTTTTGTGGCATACAATTTTCTGTGAATGAAGTCGAAATATTGTGGATGCTCTTAGATGTAGGTTCGCACACGTCAAATGTTGACGTGGCAGACTTCTATACTTTGTAATTTGATTTATACAAATATTTACTGTTTTGATATCAGGTTTGGTATTTAACATAATAATTTATTTACAATTTTGGTGAGTATCCAATTATATTTTTCATTTTTTGTCTTTCAAAATAAATGTTGCCATACAAATATGATAGTACTTATTCTCACTTATTAAATACCATAATATTTTTTTCATCATATTTTAAAAATTATAAATTTTTTTTATATGCCATTTTTCAAACCAACGCCACCTACGCCGTGAAATGGTGCTCCACCTCCTAGAGACTCCGGCCTAAAAGGACAAACAAGCGGCAGAAAAGAGCAGGCATCGACAGTTTTATAAGCTAAAAGCTTTTCTTTGGTTTATATTATAAGGGTTGACACTTGACTTTATATTGTTCAATTGAACACAGATTGAAGATCCCACCAGTACCTTGTGTAAGCCACGTTCAGTTTTAACTATACTTTTGTAGAATTTGTTTGAAATTATTGAAGGTGATTGGATATGAATTCAATTAGTTTTTAATTGATTTTTTTTTTTTTAACATAGTTAATTTGAAAACATGTAGTATTGTTTAGTTATTGGTGGATGTACTAAAATAATAAAATAAAATAATTAAATTTGATTTAATGCAAAAGTAAGAGAAAAATGATTGGAAGTGATGATTAGTTAAAGAGTAGATGAATAGTAAATTAAAGTTGATGACATGTATAAGAATAATTGATCGATATTATTTAATTATATTGATAATATTGAGAATAGTAAGATTGAATTAAATTTCAATTTTGAATTTTTTTTTTTTTTTTTGGTTGAATTGGTAAACAATCACCCCTACGCGTTCAGTTTTTCATATACCTTTGTAGAATCTGTTGACATTCTCTAATTATTAATGTATGCTGCTTCTATTTCATTTCATGCACAAATTGCGGTCATGATTATATTTAGAGCCAAAATCAAGAAATTGGTGATTAAATTCCAGTTCGTAAAAAAGGCAGTGATATATGATGCTAGTGTGCCACTTTTTATTAGACAACTTCCCCCTTATATCGAGCTAATAGGTTAAATGTGAGGAAAGAAAGGGAACTGCAGGATAAATCTGAATAATACAATTACACATTTGCAGATTTTCAGAGTATTAGATCATATGTAAAGTCGGAACACCAAATCGCTCATTTTGTAGGAGGGTGTCTCAGCGTATCGAAGCTAAAACAAATAACCGAAAGATTGGAATATACAAACTCATCTTCTTCTCGCATACAGAGACCCGAAAAAGGGTAGGAAAATCGGCCGAGCCACAGATCCACTTAACCTCAAACCAAGCCAAACACCCAAGCACCAACTTAACTGAACAAACAAAACCCATGGAATATGGCACGATCAATAATACCCATGCTGTACAAGCAAGAATATATGTATATCCATACTTATCATCAGTTACCTATCCTTGGAGTTCCTAGTATAACTGGAAGACAATCTGGACTGGGACTGGAAAAAGTCGAAAGGGGTCCCACGTCCAAAAGACCTTCTCGTGGCATTGGGGGAGTCCGAAAGCAGAGGCTCGTGGACAGGGTTACGGTGTTTGGAGTGTGATATTGATAGAGGTGAGAGATCTTTTTCGAGGGACCTTGACTGGGGCTCGATGTTGCCCAAAGACAAGATCGGGCCTCCTAAACGTTCGGCTTGTTGGAGAATGTTGATTTTGCTCGATCTGTACGTGTATCTAAAGTACTTCAGTGCAAGGACGGGTCCCATTCCTGCTGCAACAGTTAGCTGATGACCAGATATAAAATTGTTGGTCAGCCCCCACACATGTGCAATTAAAGGTTAGCTAGAAAAACTGCTTATCCCAATAACCAAAAGATACAACAACAACAACAAACAACAACAACAACAACAACATACCCAGTATATTCCCAACTAGTTGGGGTCTGGGGAGTCAGTTGTACGCAGACCTTACCCTTGTAATTATACAAGGAGGCTGTTTCCGTAGCGACTCAAGGTGCATAGCGTCGTTTGATATATTTTTTTTCTAAAAACTTCACTAATAGAAGAAGCACTAGAATTTAATTGAGCCATTTTGATCTATTCCATTATTAGCACTATGCCAGGAGAATTGTCAACAATGACTCTTCCAGCTCCATTTGCAATGGACAAACCCAATAACAAAAAGATATTTTTAATTTTTTCTTTTTTTCTTTTGTTTTTCTAATGTACATAGACCTTATTAAAAGTGTTACAGAAACTCCCTTGGTGCTTCAAATTTTATCAATTGTTAAGATAGAAATTGGTGTGGTGGGGGGGTTCCAATTTCGAAAGAAAATTTTTTATGTATATCAAAGTAAAAAACAGCAGAATCATGTTTTTCAACATTTAAACTTGCTCAGGTTTTGCACCAAAGATTCATTTCTAGTTTGTGTAGGCCACATATTATTTATTTAAGAAACAAAAGAAGGCTAATCAGACTTACAAACATTGTAATCCAGTAAGAGGGTTGCTTGCATAGGCGGAACATAATTGTGTACATCCCAGATGATGGGATTGCACTAACAATCCAGTTGATGACATAAAAACCGACCAGATTGCCCCATATAGCCAGGTGTTGCAATATTGTGAAAGAACTGCAGAAACAGAAAACGAGGAAATTTTCAAGCCAAACTCAAATGTT